GCCTTACACGTGTCTCTCACTAATATCACTGCTGTTAAGATAACGTTGGTATTTAAAATAAAGAATAAATTCATTCTCTTGATAGCAAAGACAAAATAAAGTACACTGGATGAATAACTTTAAAAAAATATTTTTTCTTTTTAATGGCTTTTATGCTACTTTATTCTAAGAACAGAGTCGGATTAGAAAGTGGATTTTTTTAAAATGTAGATTAGAATTTTAGCAACCCAATTCCTAACTGTGCCTCTCAGGCCCTCACTGTCCTCAGCTATAAAATAGAATTGTGAGGGAAAGAATTGAGGTAAAACATCTAACTCTGAGCCTGGCACATAGTTGTTGTTGAGTGCCGTCAAGTCGATTTCGAACCATAATGACCCTGTATAGGGTTTCTGAGGAACAGCTGGTGAGCTTGAATCGCCGACCTTGCAGTTCAAATGGCTTTGCAGTCTGGTACATTAACCCACAGTGCCACAACAGGACTCCCCACCAGGCATATGGTGGTGGTGGTTATGTGCCATGGAATCGATTCCGACTCATAGCGACCCTGTACAGGGTTTCCGAGGCTGTAAATCTTTACGGGAGCAGAAAGCCTCATCTTTCTCCCCCGGAACAGCTAGTAGTTTCAAACTGCTGACCTTACGGGTTCGCAGCCCCATTCTTAACTACTACACCACCAGAGCTCCTTGCCAGGCATATAATAAGGATTAAATAACCATTATTAAATTTGAAAGGAAAAGTATTACCATTTGTTACAAAGCAAAGTTCACTGTTGTTGTTAAGTGCCCTTAAGGCAGTTCCAACGGATAACAAAACCCCAAACCTGTATAGGGTTTCTGAGGTGCGGCTGGTATGCTGGAACCGAACCACCGACTTTTCGGTTCAAACGGACTTTGCAGTCCAATGCATTAACCCACAGCGCCACACTGTAAGTTACATAATAAAAAGTACTTAAATGATGTCATTCTATTAATAAGGGTTATTATTGTATAGATTTAATGACAAGATTATTCAGCAAAGAACAGTAAGAGTTTTCATATTTCTTCTTAACCACCTAACTAAGAGTCATCTACTTTGGCTATTCTAGAGGATGCTACACATATCTTAGTAACAGGTACTCTCTCCCCCGATTTTAAGTTGAAAAAAAAAAAAAAAAGGTTCTTTTCTACAACCCTATCTTTGAATATGATATCTAGTGAGGTTTCACGTACAACAAGACCATATCACACAGAATATTTCCTTATAAAGGAATGTTAATGGATTAACCACAAAAAGATAAGCTTCCATTGTCTTCCTCCTAGAGGGAGAAGAAAAGTTCAAGAAAATCATTTCATTTTGTCTTAACTATGACTACATTTAAAATTAGCTATTATTTGCTACAAAGATTTCCTGCAGTCACTAAAATTCTCATTTTGATATCAGCTATCTGCCTACAATCATAAATCATCAGTCCTTTAAAAAATATTCTATAATTTTGAAGACTTAAAAGAATCATTAGATGTAAATAATTTAGATATGAAAAAGCTGTTTTAGTTTATCTACTTCTTTATTAATTGAAGTAAATATTTTCAATGAATCAGCAATAAGTTTATTATTTTATGAGGCCAGTTTATAAACTTTTATTATCTGTATTAGATTGTTATTGTTGTTGTTATGTGTCATTGAGTTGATTCCGGCCCCTAGAGACCCTGTATAAGGTTTCCAAGGAGCAGCTGGAGCTCTTGAACCACTGAGCTTACAGTTTAAACGACTTTGCAGTCTGACATTAGCCCACAGCACCACACCAGAACTATTCATTGTTGTTGTTGTTAAGTGCCGTCGAGTAGATTCCGACCCATAGAGAACCTATATAAGGTTTCCGAGGAGCAGCTGATGAGCTTGAATCGCCAACCTTGAAGTTCAAATGGCTTTGCAGTCTGGTGCATTAACCCACAGCACCACACCAAGACTCCATTATTTTTAGAAATATTCAGGTAATGAAAATTTCTTTAACATATAATCTTTAGTCTTTCTCATTTGTATTCTTGCATAGTACACACCTCACATAATAAAACAGTTGCTATTTGTTAAGTGCCATCAAGTCAGTACCAGCCCACAGCGACCCTGTATAGAGTTTCCAAGGAGTGTCTGGTGAACTTGAACCATCGACTGTGTGGTTCAAAACGACATTGCAGTCCAGGTATTTATCCACAGCACCACAGTTTTTGATTTATAAACAGTTTAATTATGAACATTGCATAAGATGGTTTTTCTGCCCTCCCTTACTCTTTTTCACCTTCTCATATCATATTGTTGCCAGGTACATATCAGTTAAAGTACATGTTGTTGTTAAGTGCGGGCCGAGTCGATTCCGACCCATAGAGATCCTATACAGGGTTTCCAAGGAGCAGCTGGTGAGCTTGAACCACTGACCTTGCAGTTCAAATGGCTTTGCAGTCTGGCACATTAACTCACAGCGCCACACCAGGACTCTAGTTAAGGTACATGTTGTTGTTGTTAAGTGCCATTGAGTTGATTCTGACCCATAGCAACCCTGTATAGGGTTTCCAAGGAGCAGCTAGTGAGCTTGAACCACTGACCTTGCAGTTCAAACAGCTTTGCAGCCTGGCACACTAACCCACAGTGTCATACCAGGACTCCAAGGTATATAGATATGCTTAATAAAGTAATAAATTTTCTTATTCATGGTGTGGCTTGTAGGATAAGCACCAGGCCGCAAAGTAGGTTTGAATTGCAGAGTCCACAGCCACTCTTCAAAAACTCTATACAGGATTGCTATGAGTGGGAACTAACTCAAGGGCACTTTAACAACAAAAAAATATACACAGCTGCAGAAAAATTTTAAAGCAGTAAACAATTATGTTGTTGTTAAAGTGCCCTTGAGTCAGTTCCCATTCATAGCGACCCTGTATAGGGTTTCCAAGGAGCAGCTGGTGAGCTTGAACCGCAAACCTTGCAGTTCAAATGGCTTTGCAATCTGACGCGTTAACCACAGCACCATACCAGGACTCCAAACAATTATAAAAACAGGAAATACAAATGTAATTTTAAAGCATTACAAAAGAATTGTCACCAACAATTACTGTACTTAAAGTGAGTAGCACCTAATACAGAACTTAAATGGCAAAACAATAACCCTGTATTCAAATGAGTATATAGACTTCTCTTTCAAGACTCCTGTCCACTGCTAAATGTACACTCAGTAATTTTAATGACAGTCTAGATTTTTATAGTAGTACTGACTATGAACCGCAAGGTCAGCAGTTCAAGCCCACCAATTGCTCCTCAGAAACTCTATATAGGGTCACTAGGAATTGGAACGGACTCAAAGGCATTTAACTGAATATGATGGGCTTTCGGTGGCTCTGTATGATACCAACAGATTGTGAACCACAAGGTTGGTGGTTCGAAGCTTTCTGATCCCATAAAGGTGGACAGCCTTCGAAACCCTTTGCAGGGTCGCTATGAATAGGAACTGATATGACAGCGTTTGACAAAAGAGCTCTGGTGGCATAATGGGTTATGAGTTAGGCTGCTAACTGAAAGATTAACAGTTCTAATCCACCAGCCGCTCCACGGGAGAAAGATAAGGTTATCTGCTCCCATAACGATTTAGTCTTGGAAACCGTATACAGGGTTGCTGAGATGGAACTAATCTGATGGCACACAACCACCATAAGTTAACCTTGTTGCGTCTCCCTACATTGTCATTGTTGTCATGTGTCGTCGAGTCAGTATGACTCATAGTGACCCTGTATAGGGTTCCTGAGGATCGGCTGGTGAGTTTGAACCACTGACCTTTCAGTCCAAAAGACTTTGCAGTTCAGCGCATTAACCCACTGCGCCACACCAGGACTCCTGCTTACTATGGGAGTTCTGAATTAAGCTTCCCAAAGTATACTTGTTGCTCCATCTTAATCTTTGTGGATAAGTCCAAATATTTTCCCCAGAAGCATGAAAAGAAAATAAGGACTAGATTAAACAGGACTGCTGATGAAAATATTCAGCCCCATGTACCTAGTTGGTGAGTTTCCTGAAAGTTTATTCATCATCTTACAATTTCACCCTTCAAATGGAAATAAAGAGATGTACACTGAGCTGTGAGTTATCTCAGGTCAGCCTGTCTGCCAGAAATGGCCCGGTAACATGTACTCTTCTCGTGGCAGTCTCTCTCATCCCCTCAATGAACCTTTCTGTATACTCTTGTTTGCCATTAGTAGTTACAGTATTTCGCTTCCCAAAGAAATCACTTCCCTACACGGTGACGCTTTCAGATGATCGTTTCTCATTTCCTCATCCACTCCTCAATTCCATAGCTATAAACTTCCCTGCCAGAGGAAGAAAAGTTCCTAACCGACAAACAGACCTGAACGGATTTTCTGAAATCTCTCCAACCCTCTCCTAATCACAGAGCATGTAGACCTCTAAGGGCTCCCAGGAACAATGAGCTCCAAAAGTATATACTAAACGGAAAAGAAGAGGAAGTACCAGAACAACATTCAAACCAATCACTGCACCGAATCCCTCTCGGTCGTCTCCATTATCCCAATCGGCCACCTCCACTTCCCTAGTTTAATCAAGGTTTCTCAAACTTGGGAGAAATACATCCCCTGCCCCCCGCCGCCCAGAAGTTCCTCCTCCATAGACAACAAAGGTGGCAGCCAGAAAATAAGTAAACTCTGGTCAAGATCGGCGCTGTGATGCTTTTTCTGCTGGATGGAAGGAGGCAGGCCAAGGGTTGTGTAAAGAATGGAAAGCTGAGTGATGCTGGGGGATGGGGGGAATGAGGGCGCCAGAGCTAATCCCCTGGCGGGGCCCACGGAAAGCTGGTGGGAAGAGAGTCTGAGGGACTGGAGGTGCCAAGCTGCACTGGGCTTTCAGGTCCGGAGAAAGGGGACACAAGTCTGGAAGCATCCTAGGTGGGTGGGTGACGGCACCCGCAAAGGAGGTAAGAGAGCGAGAGTCGTCTTCTTCACACAGCCCCAGCACCCCAAAGCTCACACCTCAAACCTGCTTTTGGTCACTCCGTTCACGTCCCTCCTCATGGGGCCGGCGGGTGCGGCCAGGGCCGGTGCTGCGGCGTGCGGGGTGCAAAGACAGGGGGCCCAGGACAGGCCCAGGAGTTCCGAGGACGGGTAGGAGGCGGAGGAAGGGCACGGCAGGGACCTGGGACTGCAAGGAAAGGCCGTTTGACTACGGCAGGGCCTCCACCACCTCCCGCGGCCGCAGCGGCGGTGGCCGACTGCTCGTCGCTAGCTTCTCCCTCTCCTCAGCCTCAACTTCAACCCAAAACAAAAACACTCTCCACCTGCCAGCAACGCGGCTCCTCATTGGGCAGAGCCGCCCGGGCTTCGGAACTGCAGGGGGGAGGGGGAGAAGGAGGAGCGCACGGCAGCGGCGGCGGCGCAAGACCACCCCTCCCCCACTCCCGGGCTCAGCCCCTGACAATCAGCCCGGGAACAGCCGGAGCGCGACAACAGCGGCGGCGGGCGGTGGCGACATGAGTTCCCCTCGCCTTCAAGGCAGGCGAGCCCATCGGAAGAAGAGGAGGCAGGGAAGTGCCTTTGTGTCTATGTGTATTTCTGTAAAAGTGGGGTGGTCTTTGTGTAGAGGGTGTGAGTGCGCGTATGCTCGCCGATGGATGACGGAAGAAGAAAGCTGGAGAACTGCACACACACAGGAGCCACCTATTCTGTCCCGTGCACACGTCTTCTACCCTGTGCCGGCTCACAACCACACACCCACCCACAGAGGACCTGAGCTTATTTATTTTATTTATTTTTTTTTTGCCCAGTACCCCCATATCTCTAAGTCTTTTCACTTCTGCTGGCACACAAGTCCTTCCCGGCCACCCAGCTCCCTTCCCCTATCACTCACTGTCGCCTTGAACCCAAAGTGCAGCAGGCGGTCCCTGCTCGGAGCCATTTTCCTCCTCTTTCTGGATGTCTCTAGATTGGGGCAGTGCTGCTGCTCTCGCTGTTGCTGCTGCTACCGCCGCCTCCCCCGCCCCCGTGGATTGCATTACGGGGTGCTGCAGGGAGGCCTGGGGGGCCGCTGCGGGGCGTGTCTCTCCTGGTGCAATGCTCTGGAGGACTAGGGCCCATTGGACTGAGGGCCAGGCCAGGCCTCCGCTCTGCTCCGGGGAAACGCAGAAAGACTGCACCTCGGCTCTTAGGGTCAGAGGGTGCAGTGCTGGAGCCGGGTAACCATTCTTTTAGCTAGGGGAAGGGTGCTTCTTGGGGGGTTGGGGGTGAGCGGAGCAGAAGAGGACAGCCTTTGGCTACCCCCGCCCTTCTGCCTCTGGGCCGCCGCTAACACCCTGTGAGGTGCAGTGTCTGCCCGTCCTCCAATCAGGACAGTAGGAGCTGAGACCGTGATCATGACGTCACTTTGGCGGGAGAAACGAGCGTGTCCTGGACTAGTAGGCGGGTGTGTTTGCTAAAGCGGAAACTTTAATTATCCACAGCCTCCTAGGTTCTTTCTGTGGAAGCTAGTTTGTCATCATAGTATTTTCCTTAAGCAACCCTGGCCTTCTTGGGATCGGAATTTACAAATTTCCACTAATTAAAGAACAATCCACTCAGGTGCTTACTGTACAAACAGCAAACTACAGAACGATATCCCAAAGATAAAATATTAGAAAATATTATAAATTCTAATGAACTCTGTCAGTGCTGCTAACCACAAGGTCAGCGGTTCAAACCCATCAGCTAATGCTGTCTGCTCCAGTAAAGATTTAATCTCCAAACCCTAAGAAGCAGTTCTACTTTGTTCCTGTTACAGGGTCGACATGAGTCAGAATCGATGGCAGTGGAATTATAAATTCCAGCCATCTCCCTGGGAGGACTACTGCTCCTAATTGTATGTTTCTAAAGCAGTTGTTATCCCACCCCTTTTAATTAGCAGTGACTGGCTTGGTATGTCTGATTAAATAATTAAGAGCCATGAACAGGAGATCTTCCAAGAACACCCTTTTTTTTTTTTTTTTTTTAAATCGTTTTATCCTGAGAGGGCTTCTTAAGAAACCTAGCCTCATAAACTCATTCTCAAACCCTGAGTAAGACCCTCAACAAGTTGGACTGACAGTGGCTACAACAGTGGGCTCAAATGTAGCAGATTGTGAGGATGGTGCAAGACTAGGTTGTACATATGGAGTTGATGTAAATTGGAATCGACTTGACATCACCCAACAGATACTGATTACAAACTCTTTCTGTCCCAATACGTTTAATGTCACTGCTTCATTTTAACCAGTGGAAATAAGAACAGCCTTTTAGTTCCATTACATCAAATAACTTTTTTCTCCACCAAGAACTACTAATAGTTTTGGGATTAATGACTAAGGAAAATTTTAAGTGGGTATAAACAGAAACATAATTCGACCAGCTGTTTCCCATGTGTTTACCTAATCTGTCTATCTATTCTCAATGCTAGGGCTGATCTATATCCAGTGGTATTCAAAAAAAGCCTTTTCCTTTTTGACTAGATTTTCAAAGCTGAATATGAAATGAAGATTATTCAAAGGTTAAATATTACACATAGGCATGTTACTTTTTATCAGAGAAATTTATTTGCATGTAAATAAACAAGTTATTTTGTAGTTTTGGGTGGGAAAATCCCACAAAACAGATTTTTATCTACTTTCAAAAAAATGTAAAACCCCAAAGTATTTACAGAATGGCCATACACACAGAAAATCAAATTTGAGAGATTTTTCTTTTAGAAAAGACCCTCCCCAACTGCTCCTGATGTACATTTTTAACTCAAAATTTGAAGCTCATTTGAGCATTTTCCCCAACCTAGCTTTTAAGGGTGTTATGTATCCAAAAACTGACTCAAGGGTAGAAGAGGGGAAATTGGGGGGTGGGGGGTGGGAGGTTGTCCAGGGATTGTGACTCTTTCCTATAATGGTATATGCTATGATTAGTGACTCAATTGTGGATACTGATGACTCACTGGCTCCCTGAAAGGGTTTCTTCTGATAACTCATATTACTGTACTAAGTTTTCACTAGGCCTTCAGAAGGTAAATCCTTTCAAGAGTCACCAACTTCAAACGTAGTTTTGGCAAATGATATCCTGCTTTCTTTTTCTAAAATACTTTTTGTAAAACACAATGATTTTGAACCTGATATCTCCATGTACATCAGAGCAGGTTTTGACCAAGAACCCCCAACATGAAGCTAAAGACAGAAGAGGAATCAGGTAAAACTAAGAATACATAAGACACCAGCAGCAGAAGATAGGTAGAAGTTGACTTCGTGTCCTTGCCGTCTTTTGAAACAGGAGAATGAGTACACCTAGACAGGAGGGAGGTGTCCCAGGCTTGGTTTATTCTGCCTCTTCTCCTCCACCCTGTGGAGAAATGCAGTGCTCCCTGGTTCTCGGGCAGGGTGAAGCAGTTTAGCCCCGGCTCCCTGTTAAGCAAGTTCAGATGCTGGGTCAGTGTGTGGGGTGTGCCCATCGACAATTCAGGGGCTTATCCTTCATCCAGATCCTAACTCGGGATTCTTTGATCTGGGATGAAGACAGAAAGAGAGAAAAAGCTTCCCAGTTTACTCATTTTGGTATTTGTTGGCTCTGCTTGGGGGAGCTGAGCCCCTGATACTATGCAGTACATCCCCATTAAGATCTTTCCCACCCAGAACAAACTTAACAACTTTGCAACTTTTTTTGTTTTCCTGCAGAAACCAATGGGATAGGATTCAAAACTAGGTGACAAACTTGTGAGAAATCCAACCTGTTGGATGTCTGAGAGGCTGCTACTGTATCAGCATCACAAGATAAAGCACTCTGGTATCACCTTGCCCATGTCCTCCATAGTGTCACCCAAGACATTTGACTCTGACACGGTAACCGATAACTTTTCTTGCTCCAGTTTGCAATTATTTCGTTTCCTACTTCTTATTACCTTGGGACACAAAAGTGGCAGAGTTGTTGAGAGCTGATGACCAGAAAAGGGAGAACACTAGAGGAAATCAGAGATAGTCCAGGAAAGAAAGCCAAAGCTGATTTTCCAACTCTATACTAAACTCCAGCCAACAGAAAGAGCTGAATATAGAAATCATCTTCTTCCATGTCTGATGAAGTCACTCCACTTATGACACAAATACAAAAAAAGGAATCACCTGGCTTTTTTTAAATTATTATTTATTTAATCCAGAAGAGTTGTGCTGGGGACCATGCCCCGTCCTGCTGATACAGATCCTGAATGGAGTCATCAGGAATGGCACAGTGCAGGTGTCAAAATCAAAGTAAGGCCGCGGAATTTTGAGAGGACCCTCCAAATACTGAGAACTTGTGTTGCACTCAAATGGTCTCCTGGATTTCTATATTTATGAAAAGGGCTTCTTTATGATGTCCCCCAGAATCCAGACTCAGACCTGTTTCTCCAAAAAGGTCCAATTGTATTGCGCTACACAGTAGCAAGGTTTTATCTTCATGCCCACCTAGCATTCCAGATCCCCACTTCTTCAAGTGAGCTTGAAATTGTTTTAAGTGAACTATGGCTGCAAAATTTTAACTGTTTTATCTTAGGGAGTATACAGTGGAGTGATTAAAGTCTGGACTCCTCCTCCTCTTTACGATGAAGATACACAGGGAGCCCAGCTTTTAGGAATGGCATCAGTTCTCCCACAAACAAAATGCTGGGATGTAGACTTTTGGCACATTGTGGGAATAGGAGAACTATTAATTCTGTAATGGTTTTCATGCCACTGAAAATATGTTTTTATCCTAAAAAGCCAGCCCAGCTTTTCTTTAAGGAAAAAAAGAGTATAAATTAATACCTCCATAGGGAGGTAACTCCTAATATTCCTATGGTGTTTGAACCCTATGAAAAATCTCCTAAAAATAAAAAATATCATTTTGGTTTTTCTACTTAACTCCAAAGGTGGGCTCTGACTAGTGTGCTTGGGCTTGACACTACAGTATCAGCACAAGCCACAAGCCCCCTACCACCAAATAAGCCTTGCTCTTCTGTCTCCCATCATTTTGAACCCTGAACCTCATAGAATTAAAAACACTGTATAAAAACAAACAGATAAAGGATTAAAATATTACAAATAAATAGCTAAAATCATTTCCCGCCCCAATCTCTCCTAAGAAACAGACACCAAACATTACTTAAGTGTCCAAAATGACCCAAGTCCTTCATTTGCCCATGCTTCAAATGGACAACTAACCAAACAAAGGTGAACAACCTTCATGCAAATGCATCAAGGAATGTATTGCTTCTTCATGTCCAGCCCAGCCCTTCAAATACATGCACTAAAATGAATTTAAAACATGGCCTAAAAAG